CAGCAGCCCATTGCTATTTTCATTATTTATAGCTGACTTGGAGAAATTCCTGAAATCAAAAGGAATAAGAGGGATTTCCATGGGACATAACAATGAAATTGTTTTATTAGCTTACGCGGACGATATTGTATTGGTTGCAGATACTGTAGCAGGTTTAAAGAAAATATTAAGAGTCCTTCATAAGTATTACTGCAATACTTATGAAGTAAATGAAAAAAAACAAAAATTTTAAGTTATAAAAAAGGTGGGTTCGCGCATAATAAAAAGCTAAAATTTACTTATGGAAAATCTATAATTGAGATAGTAAAAAATTACACATATTTGGGAATTCCTCAAAGTCAGTCTGCATCTCCGGTAGATGCGTTGAGAAATGCAATATCTTCTGCGAAATTAGCTGTGACCTCGACAATATCGCTTATAAATAGAATGGACTTGAATACTTGGAGACCAATACCAAAATTATTTGAAAGTTTAGTAACTAGTACTTTATTCTACGCTATTCATGTCTGGCGATTAAAATTTCTAGGTGAAATAGAAATAATACAAATGAACTTCTTTAAAAGAATCCTTTTGCTTCCACAAAATACACCTAACTATGCGTTAAGACTGGAAATTGGCAATGTAAAACAATCGAGTAAAGTATTCAAGTTAACTCTTAACTTAATTGAGAAAATTTTATGTATGAATAACGATAGATTCCCGAAAATTTGTTTGACATATCATTGTCAAAGTCAAACAATACTGCGCAGAAATACAACTGGTGTTTGCAAGTAGAAAAAAAGTTAGAATTCATTGGGGAAAAAGTTGTTTGGAATGCTGAATTTATAAAGAACAATAAAGCAAGGCTAATCAAAACATATAATAACTTTTTACGAGCTGAAGATGTAAATTCGTTGTCTAACTCTCGATCTCTACAGCTTTTTCCAGATCTCACTCTAAGAGAAGGACAAAAAAAATTTTGTAATATAAGTTTGAAAAAATATAGCTATTTTATATAATTTTTAATATACCCTACCGAAAGAGTGGTACTGGGAAATTGGAACTGAGGGCTCAGTACCAACTCAGTACTAATTTGGTGCATTTTGGTACTGAAATGGAACTGGGAAATTTACCTGCGAAAAGGGTCGAGTTACCGTTAAAACCCTCATAAAAGTGAAAAGCGACTAGCTTTTTCAATATGTTTAAACTAAAACTTTATATTTATTTCAATATTATATTTGTTTTTCATGGATTTATATTATTTTCATACATTATTATGCATATGATATTTCCTTTGGCAGCTAAATTCAAAAATGATGTCCATTTTTTTATCAAACTTAAGGTATACGAGATAAATTATAACTTTTTTAAATGTAATTATTTTATGATAAATTTTAGATATTCATAATCTGGAAATATTAACGAATCTTAATATATATTTTTTAAAGTTGAGTTATGAAAATTACAAATTTTTTAAGCAATAAAACTCGGGTTAAAATTGTAATCCTTCAACAAAGGACCTGGGAGTCTATTGTTCAAGGAGGGATTGCAATATAATTTCCAAACTTAACTGAAATTTTCTACAAACTATTATGTTTTTTTTGCTGTTTTACACGGATATCGTGAGAGACGTTTTGCTGTTCTAACATACCTTTAAAACTATTGTTAAAGTACTTTAAAAATGTCTTCTTATGGGTTATCAGGTAGTGGTACTGAAGTAGAACTCAAGCCAAGTCCAATTCAGTACCATTCCAGTACCACTCTTTCGGTAGGGTACCGAATAATCATTTCACATAATTTCTAAATACAGTGGAAACTCTCTATAACGAAACTCTTTATTGGGAACGGTGGTCTAGTAACAATCTAGTAACTTTGACCCATTCTCTCCCTCCATTTTGTTTTTTCTACTCTTTCTAACCTATTAATTGAAGAGAGACAAAGAAAGAAAATGGAGGGAGAGAATGGGTCCCCACCAGATGGCGTATTGCAGTTTAGCCGATCCCAATAAGATAAAACTCTCCTTAATGTAAACATCTGTTCAAATTGGTTGGTTTGTATTTAAAGCTGTATACACATACACTCTCTTTAACGAAGCAATCACTCACTATAACGCAAGTACAATGTCTCAAAACGAAAAATTTTTTCTCCTAACTTTGTTTCATTTATTTACTTTGATGTGCTGTTATTGCTGCCACATAGATTTTTATGGTAGGTAGATATATATAAAAAGTATTTGTTACTGTTAAAAATTAATTTAGTCTTTGTTTGAGTTTTCTACAAGTCGAATGTGAATAATTGTGCGTGGCTTGTAAAAGAGTTTTTCTATAGACGAAAAGGTTTCAGTAATTCATACATGACAAAGCAGAAATTTGTTTTTTTCTTTAATTGTGTATATTTCTTTAAAATAAAAATTTAATATAAAATATTGTTATTTTTTTGCTCACTCGATGTAACGAAAACTCCCTATAACGAAACAAATTGCCCGGTCCCTTGAAATTCGTAATAGAGAGTTTTCACTGTATTCTAATTATTATTTTTCCGAATTTTAATTTGAACGAATTATTAATATTAGAATTATTTCTTTTGCGAATTACCATTTAACACAATATTAATTTCCCCTAGTATTTATTTATTCTAATCTCTATTGCTTCGAATCGTTATATGCCATAATTAGAATTTTACAGAAACTCCATTTGCCCTAACATACTTCCAGTCAATTTCAGTACTGTAGTTTCCCATCTCCATTAATTTCTGGAATTTTTGCGCCACTTCCTGAGACGCACCCAAGAAGACTAGAAACAGGAGGTATAACTCACGGAGGAATAGTAAGGAGACCGATCTCTGCGTTTGAAAATGTCAGAAAAACATGTACGATAAGTGCCAGGTTCAGTGCATTGTACTCAACCACCAAAGTAGCTGAGCATGCGCATTGGACCTCAATTTTGACAGATGAAAAGTGTGGTTATGCTATATACATATATGTCACAAAAAAAATCTTAGTGTTCAGTGTTTATTTCAGAAATTTTATTTACCATTGCGATATTGTATCTCCAAAATCATGTGTAAGTATATAAAATAAACATTAATAATAATTTTTAAAATAATAACAATAATAACACATAACCCCTTCATCACAACACGTAGGGTTGTAAAGTTTCATGAAAGTTTCAATGCTTCATGAAACGTTTCAAAGTTTTAAAGAAAGAGGCGGGAATATTTAAATTATATATAATAAATCCTTATTAATAATAATATTAATTAATTTAACGACTGGAAATAATAATGTTTTAAAACGGATTTTTTGGTCATATTTGATTTATTACTATATTAGAATTTTGTCTCCGTTTCGAACTAGAATATGTTCATTTTCATAGCTATAAACATTTCATACAAAATACGACATTAAATAATTTTTCAATCAAAACAGTTTAAATAAATATAATAAATATCTCTCTCGATAATCATAATACATAAAAATACCATACAAACGATTACTCGAAAATTAAAACAGATATTTATTATATTTAAATTGTTTTAATTGAAAAATTATTTAATGTGATATTTTGTTTAAATTTTTAGCCCTGAAGATAAACTGGTTTCAGTTCGAAACATAGACAAAATTATGATATAATAATAAAATGTAAAACATTTTATTATTATAATTAACTTTTCACAAGTTTATTTTTTGACCTAACCTAAAATATTTATTACGTTATTGCGCATGTGCACGTGAAGGCTTACTATTGGTTCTCCAATGTTTCATGAAACTAATGAAATTTTCGTCCATGAAAGATTGAAACTTTCAAATGAAAGTTTCAATCTTTCAATGAAACGTTTCACGACTCACAACCCTAACAACACGCATGGAAGACTTGAGAAATATACGTCAGCCAGATCTCACTCGCACACTTTTTGCGAGAGAAAGAGACAGCACATGGCTAATGCGCATGCTCAGCTACTTTGGTGGTTGAGTAAAATGCAGTGAAACTGGAATTTATCGTACATGTTTTTTGACATTTTCAGAAGCGCTACTACAGCAAGATCGGTCTCCTTACTATTCCTCCGTGGTATAACTCGAGGAGTGGGGACACAGCAAGTCTCCGTCAAAATCCTGAGTATCTAGTAGGCAGTGGCCACGAGAAACTTAGCAAACTTCCAACGTGATTCCAACATTCTGTGTATATAAACATAACCTACTCATAAGCTATAACAAGCACAACAACCACTAAAGAATTTAATTACGAAATATAAAAAATGTGTTTTGTCGATAAATTTACATCGTTTAGAAAACATTGAAATGTCAAATTTCGTAACATATTTATTTACTTTAATTTAATTGTAAAGTGAAATATATGAAATAGTGTTTATTGAGAGATACTAAATCTACTACACATAATTTTTATATTCAAGGTATGTAAGTTTTAAAATTATTCAACATGTCATTAATTTTATGATAATTGAAACAGATGTTAAATTCGTACTTTAATTAAGTTTATTTGTTAAATATTTGTAGATTGCAGAAATAGGATATGACTCGTAACTCCAAAACAAAATTAAACGATAAGTAATGAAAGATTATTATTTTGCTGGAATTATGGACAGAACTGGAAAGCTTTTAATTTTAATAATTAATTAATTAAAGTTTAAAATGAAAGTGAATAGTTTCTTGTTTTTAACAGATAATTTACAAAATCCCGGTAATTTCTCATTTATTATTATTAAACTACTAATTGTAAGTTTAATTGTGAATTAATTTGAGTTTATAATTGAAGTGAATAATTCTACTGTATTTCCAGTAAATTTTTTAAATCCTCGACATTTCCCAGTTATTATTATTATTATTATTAAACTTTTAATTTTAATGATTAATTAATTTAAGTTTATAATTAAAGTGAATAATTTCATGGTTTTACCAGTTAATTTACAAAATCCCAGTACTTTCTCATTTATTATTATTAAACTACTAATTGTAAGTTTAAATGTGAATTGATTTAAGTTTATGATTGAAGTGAATAATTCAACTGTATTTCCAGTAAATTTTTAAAATCCCAGTAATTTCCCAGTTATTCCTGATTTCTTGGTTAACTCGCCACCCTAATAACTTTTTATTTATTGTTGTGTGAATTAAGTATAGTAAAATGTAATGTAATAATTGTGTAAAAGTAATAAAGATACAAAATAAACACTTTTAAAAATTTAAATAATATTTTTTACTGAAAAATTGAATAACATTTATTTAAAATGTTATTATAACATTTTTTAATATAAAATTCCATAAAAGTACAGACGAAAAAATATTCTACATATAAATATATATCTAAAAAATACTTCGTTTTTAACATATTTATTGTAAAAAAATACGGTAATAATACTCTCTTCGCTTCTTTAACAACAATCACTTTATCTTGTTTCTGCTTTTTAATTGCTAAAAAATTTTCCGGTAAGATTGTATTAGATAATACTTTTATTCCGTTTTTTGTAACTTGTACATTTTTTGGTTGTTTTTGGTTTTTTATAAATTCCTCTTTCTCCAATGTTTTTAATGCTTTTTTTGTTCCTTTCAGTAATTACACTGAGTTTGCTTTTTGGTTTTTCGAAATTAACACTAATACTTGCTTCGGTTTCACAGCCGCTAATATTGCCTAACGTTTTTTAACGCAGTATTAAAACCATGAGTCAATTCACACTTCCTTTTTTGTCCATTTACAGTTTTGATAGTTCTTTTTTCATTAGTATAGCTTTTTACAGTTTCACTCCTTGAGCTACCTACTAATTTCGATAATTTCCGATATTTCTTTTCTTCTTTTTACGCATTATCATAAACAGCGTTATGCTTCTGGCATATTATTTGCGTTCGTGTGATACAGTAATAATTTATAACTATTTTAGTTAGGGCTTCTTTTTGTTCGTAACAACCCACAAAAGTTATAGGCTCAGCAAGTATATTGTATACAATATGTTGGAACGTATAAAAGTTAAGCTGCTCCTCTTCTACAGTTTGGAGGATAGCCCTTTCCAATGCGAATAAAAGATCGAACAATTCATTTGAAGGATAAATCAAATACCCTCTGCTCAAGCCACGGATCATTTCATCCCTAGGCAAGTTTCCACTTGGTTTAGTAGCAGACAAAAAGCATGGACTACAAGATGTCCATTTTTCAATTTTTCTTGCGACGAAACCAGTAAAGTATGCCAAAACGATGTCGTTTACACCGAAAACGTTGTAATCGTGAGCATGTTGCGCGCCATAATTTTTTTCGTTGTTTTCACCCCTTTCTATTATCTGGTCAAGGACTTGTTTCCATTCTTCTTTACTCTCATTTTTTGAATCCTTCGCAGATAGTAAAGTTTCAAAAATTTCCATACTATTAACATTTGATCCCTTTGGAGGCTTGACTAAGGAATAAAAACTTAACAGACTATAAATCTGAATAAAAAGAAGGGGATCTGGCTTGTCATGAGAACCGCAGCAACCTCTGATCAATCCAAACATCCCCTCTAAAGCATTCTGATTAAGTCGAGCGGTAATTAAAAAAGAAAATTTACATTTTCAATGAGAAATTTCATAACTTCTACAGTAGTTTTTAAGGTTACTTTAAACCCAACGTATGTGTTATTAGACATAAAAAGAGAATTGTTTGCTTCATAATTATTTTTTTTCCAAATCCTTAAATAGTTCACGAATTCTGTTATTGCCTGAAAAATAAATTTTATAATTGCATTGAATAATTTTTTTTACATTTTAACTAAAAAGTACAAAAATTTTAAAAAGATTTAAATTATTCCATTGAATATTTTCAAGTAAAAGAAATAAATGAATAAAAATTACCTCATATGAGTTACTTTCTGGTGTCAGTGCATTTATCGAACATCTGGAAGTCATTGCTTCGATAAGTTTGTTAACGCGAGTGATAATTTTTATAGTTGAACTTACTTCTTGTGCCTTATGCACATGCATTTTTTGAAAAAACTTAGGATCAATATGATCCTCTGTAATTTTGTGCGCAATTTTAAGACCTAAGTATTTTGCTCCACCGTTGCACTTTATAATACTTTTAAAGTTTTGTTTTTTGAACCATCCATCAGGAGTCTGTAAAAATTTTTTATAAAATGTTAACATATTTTAAAAAATCTTATTTTAATTCACCACAATTAATACCTACCAATATTTTGTCTTTAGCCGTCATAAAATTGCGAAAATTTTTCAAAAAATGTGAGAAATCTGAACAAATCTACAAACGACAATTGTCAACTTTGTCAATTTCGTCAACTGTGCAAACGTGTCTGCAACTGGCTTCAAGATCTTTTAAACCGAAATGTTTCCACATTCCACGGTTCCATTGAGCACCATCTGTTGTTACAACATCCACATAAAATCCGTGATTTTCCAATAGAATAATACACTCAGTAACAAGACGACTTAGGACTTGTCCATTTGCGGCACCTTTGCTAAGGAATGTTGCCACATTTTGTATCCATTTTCCTCTAAAAGGTTGGAACAAAAATACCAGAGAGTGATCAGCTTGTTCCTTTTTTTGATTTTCCGGTGTGTGTTCAATTAAATCAATGAAGCCTAGGACAGAGAGGTTCTCACTATCGAAGGACACTGACTTGCTAATCTGCATCTCATCAATAACTAATACTCCTAAATAATGAGAAAGATTGTATTGCATATATAATTAATAGTAATGCAAATTAATCTGGTTAATTATTAATATTACTTCTTTTTTCTTCTGCTTTCAGGGCATCACTCTTTTTCTTCAACATAGCAAATAATTGAGGATCAAACCTGTAGCGAGGTTTCATTAGAGAAGTTCAAAAAAAATTATACCCCCTTAATATCTTTTATACGGTAAAAAAAAATTTCCTAAATTTTCAGATTTTTTGAACAATTTCTAGAGGTCGCTATTGTCGCACAAAGTACGGAAATCCATTATTTTTAAAAGAATATATTGTAACGTTGCAGTCTTTAGACGGCATGTTTTGTTAACAGATTTTCTCTCTTTCGAAGAAACCTTTATAATTTTTGCAACGATCGACCAAGAACACCTAATTTAAAGATTAAGAATAAAATATAATTTCCGTTCTGAGGTATTTTATTTTAACTTTGTTATTCCATTAGTGGAGATACAGTCAAATCCTAAAGGGGCATAAATAATTTAAATAGTTGCATGGTTAAGTTATTTTTTTTATATCATTTTTCATGAAAATTGGTGATACGGGCCTGAGTAAGGCTGAGAGAGAGAGAAGTCAAAGGACAAAGAAAGGAACACTCCTGAGGGGTCAGGAGATCAAGCTACAAAGTTTCCTACGTGGGATGGCAGACGTGAGTGCGACAAAGGACCGTACATCGAGGGTGGGGTGCGGATGAGAATCCCGCACTCCGAGATACTCACGACTGCCGAAGAAGACGTCCATTTAAGCTCAGCATTCGTTCGGCCAATTAGAAGGCCGCTAACGTTTCCAAATAAGGGGGATATGTCACGAGGTCAGCGTAGTGAACTATTTTGTCGCCTTTGCGCCGATTTAAGGGGCAAGGTAATCGAATGGACATTGGAAACCCGTGAAGAATCGTTCTTCTTGGTCGTGACTTGCGAAAGTCTAGTTGTATTTTTGTAGAAATTTGGCAGTGGCCATTTTTCTTTATTAAAGATTCAATCTTTGGTTTTGTGTGCAAGAAGCACTAAATTTTGAAGTATTTTGCCTATATTTTGAAGCCTATATTTTGGCTAGATTGGATTTTCTGCCGGAGCAGAAAGATTGTAACTTATCAATTTTGGAAGCCATTGTGTCCGGTGCGGTCTGTAGTCGCCACGCTGACGCCTAGATTATCTTGATTTGATAAGAGGTCCAAAATTAAAGGTATCTTTGTCAAAATTGTAATAAATTCTTTTGTGCGGAATTACACGGCACAAAGTACAGATTTCTCAGTGTGCCGGTAATTTTCTTTGATTTAATTTACTCTTTTTTTATTATCATATCAACGTGAGGCGAAATTCATACGCCACCATGTTTGCCCTTCTGGCTTGACCGTCTCTCAACGATATAATTTCTTATTCGCTTATTTCAAATTTCCTAAACATATTAATTTAATTTTATTTATTTTTGTATTATGTCGAGTCAAGCTAGTCGAAGGCCTATATTTCCTGACAAAGTCAGGCATTGTAAATAGAAACACATTTTTGGTACATTAATAAATTTATGTTATTTGGTATTAAAAGAGAAAAATTGGTGTAATTGATTTCATTTGACATTTATGGACCTTTTCTCTCCCTGTCTCTCTCTCTCTCCCTCGTCATTCGCCTAAGTAAGGACTCACGTTTGGTTCCCAGCAACTCTCCAAAAATGGCTGAGCAGTTCGGCAGAATTTTAAGAAAACCGTAATGTTTCGAAAGTCCTGGGACGGTAAAAAATTAAATTGTCTAACGTAGCTTTTGAGTAAATTTGGTTTTTCACCTGGCGTCCTTAATACAAGTTCCGGGAGTTCAAATTATTATTTAAATACGTTTATTTCATTTAACAGTTTTAATTTTTGCTTTGTAAAATTATTATTCGTTATAAATGGCGCCCAACGTGGGGACCTCAAACGTGTGTTCTTGACTAATCAGTTGACTTATAATAGTGCCAAGAATGGCAGAAAGAGAGAAAAGGATTTTAATAAATTTTTTTTTATTTTTTTTTTGAAGAGAGAAAGGTGTCAAGGATTGTTAAAAAAAATTAAATTTTTCCTCTGCAAATTTTTGCCCGCTACTGACAGTCGAAAGATTGTAAAAAGTTATTTCCATGGTGCGATTTCCCGTTCTGTGGTGACAATAAGTCTACTTTACGGCTACAAGTGAATTTTTTTCCCTTGGAAATCGAACGATCCAATATGGCGACCAAAAATTTTGAAAATTGACCATATTCGCTTGAAACTCGTTACTCGGGGGTTTTTGGGGTCGCTGATTCCAAATTTGGTGTCAGATCGGAAAAATGACAAATGGCGTATCCAATATGGTGATCAAATATGTTGACAATTGACCAAATTTGTCTGAAACTTGTTAGTCACAATGTTTTGTCATTCATTTTGTTTATTCTTATTTATGTCATATTCGCTTAACGTGTTTGTCAATTGTTTTATTATCAGCACTTTTTAAGTGATGACTGTCGTTTTATTTCGTTTTCTTTTCCTTCAGAGACCATCAGTGCTCTGTTTTACGCGATTAGTTGGCAATTGTTTTTTCTCATCTCCATTCCGGCTTGCCCTGTTATTTGGGTCTTGCCTCCAAAGTACTGTCACTGTCATCTATGTTTAAAGCGATTGTCCATTGTTTTATTCTTTGCGCTGTTTAAGTGGTGACTCTGCCATTTATTTCGTTTCTTTTTCCTTCAGCTAATGCCATTTCTTTGTTTTACGCGATTAGTTGGCAATTGTTTTTTCCCATTTCCATTCCTGCTTGTCCTGTTATTTATATCTTACCTTCACAGTACTGTCATTGTAATATTCGATTAACAGGACTGTTAATTGCTTTGTATACAGCGATCTTTATATGGCGAATATAGTTAGTCTCGATAAAAGATTTTAAGTAATATTAATTAATTTCTAAATTTTTAGAAAATTGTCCGCCATATTGGCTCGGCCATTTTGAATTTTTGAAATCTAACTTTAGGTTCGTAATCAGCGACCCCAAAAACCCCCAAGTAACAATTTTTAAGTATTTTTAAATAATTTTTGCCATTTTTTGAAAAATCGTTTACATTGGCTCCGCCATTTTGAATTTCTAAAATCTGACTTTGGAATCGTAATCAGCGACCTTAAATACCATAGTATACACATTTGCACAAATTTTGGTCATTCAAAAATTTACTGACATTTTGGGCTCACTTATGAGATTTTGGTCTCGACTGCGAAGTGATTAAAGGCATTTCAGCATTGCGTAAAAGAATGTTTCAAGAATTGCTTTTTCAGATTCTGCAATAAAAATTGAAGTAGCGTTAAGGAAAAAAAAGATATTTCTTTAACTGCTTTTTGACAAAAAAATGATATTTTTTAAACATTGTCCGTCGTAAATGATTTTTTTATGGTTTTACACACGGAGAGAAATCTGGTGCGATTTACGCATGAGCATGTCCTTAGGAATATAGTAACAGACGCTTTCAAGCAAAAATCCTAAGTGAGCGAGGTATTATTGTATGAGTCTCACCTGATATTCAGATGGAATCTTATGGTTTTTGCTTGGAAGTGTCCATGCTATATTCCTATGGACTTGCTCATGCGCAAATCGCAGCAGATTTCTCTCCGTGCAGTATCAGGATATGTATAAACGCTTTCAGTATCACTACCGCAAGTGCTGAGCTACATAAAGTGTATTTACCGATTTCAAAATTTAACATGGTGGGCTTTAAAATGGCGATCAAGAGTCTAAAAATATTGTTTAATGTCGAATATTATGGAATTTAATACTACATTTTATCACATATTAATGAAAAGGCTTACTGTTACGGATTTGAGATCGTTTACTATAAACCTCACAACTTAGTAACCAAATTCAAAATGATGGATCTAACATGAGACACAATTGGAAATTTCTCACTAATTTCGTATGACAACTACTTACTCATTTAGTAAATTTATTGCGACATTCATAGCATAAAATTTATATCAATACTACTCTTGGACATACTAAAATAGTTTTAGTTGTTCCCGAGAGATAAAGTGTCATTTATTCTTCTATATTCGTATGAATGTCATTTGTATACAGTTATTCATTCTGCCATGCTAATTTCGTTCAAGGCACATACTAGTATAGCGTCAAACGTCGAGCGATTATTTGATAACTAATTAAAATAATCGCTCGACGTTGACGCTATATTGGTATGTGCCTTGAACGAATCTCGCACGGCAGAGAGGGGAACTATATTCACTCGTCATTCGTGCAATACAGCCATAAAGTTGCTACTAATAACGTTAATATTAGTGATCTTTTAACGCTTGGGATTTTTTGGAAATACTTTAGTATAACTTTAAGCGTTTTTGTTAAGAAAACGAACATACCAAAATCGCTATTATAGTAAGTGAGAAATTTCTCTCCGTGTAGGTATTTTTACGTACTTTTCTATACTTCTGGTTCGCCATGTTAGATCCGCCATTTTAAATTTGGTAACTAAGTTGTGAGGTTTACAGTAAACGATCTCAAATCCCTAACAGAGTAAGCCTTTTCATCAATATGTGATAAAATGTAGTATTAAATTCCATATTATTCGACATTAAACAACATTTTTAGACTCTTGATCGCCATTTTAAAGCCCGCCATGTTAAATTTTGAAATCGATTAATACAGTTTATGTAGCTCAGCACTTGCGGAAGTGATACTGAAAGCGTTTATACATATCCTGATACTGTAAAACCATAAAAAAATCATTTACGACGGACAATGTTTAAAAAATATCATTTTTTTTGTCAAAAAGTAGCTATATCTTTTTTCCTTAACGCTACTTCAATTTTTATTGCAGAATCTGAAACAGCAGTTATTGGAACATTCTTTTACGCAATGCTGAAATGCCTTTAACACCAAACATCGGATTAAATAAATGTTTTTTTGAAAATAATGGATTTCCATACTTTGTGCGACAATAGCGACCTCTAGAAATTGTTCAAAAAATCTGGAAAAATTAGGAAAATTTTTTTTTCCCATATAAAAGATATTAAGGGGGTAAGACTTGGGAAGATTCAAAGAAAATTTTTTTGAACCTCCCTAATATATATATGGGCAAATCCACGAATATGAATATGAAGATATGCCTTGCGACTTTTGATGCTTAAAAGAATACTTGAAAGAATAGTATCTCATTTCTTGCTTATCTTTTACTTTAGAAGAATTAAAAGTAGTTCTTAAAACTTCTCTTTGTTGTTTCGACAAATTTTTAATATTTTTATTTAAAGCATTTTCGTTTAATGCAGAACACTTCTCTATCAAATCATCAATATGCCCTTGCATGTTCTCGATCTGGAATAAAAAGCGATACAAAAAAAAATATTTTTTAATTAATAAACTACAGTTTAATAATATAATATGTTTACCTTCTTCATACTTCGAATTAATCTTTCTTTTACTTTTCGATAATTGTTTTTCGTTTTTTTACTATTAATGATTAAACGTTTGGTAATTCGCTGCTGTTTTAATTTTTCTCGTTTTGTGATGACTTGGCAATCCTTACATTTTTGGCTAGATGAAAAACTTTTTGGCAAGTAAAATCCATTTTTGCACAATCCTTTCCAAGATCTTGTACAGATATTTAAAGAAACAATTTTAATCATTGCAATTTGCAATTCTACAATTGAGGAAACTTTATCCAATACTCGATACTTTGCGGGATAATTATAAACCCCAAGCTAAAAAAATCAAAAAGAAATTTTTTAAAAATTGTTTTGCTTTCTCGTAGAAAGCTTTATTTTAAAATTAAGTTTTATTTTTAAACTTTTAAACTTTAAACTTAATAAAGCTTTACTTTTAGACATATATTAAGTTCATATTTTACCAAAATTTGAGAAAGAAACATAAGCAGATGAAAACTTACAAACCATAAATACTTACTTCGACAGTCATGTCCTCTTTTATGAGAATGGTACGTGTTACCATTATTTTCGAATCACCAACGTAGCTGAATAATACTCCTTTTCTAGTATTGTTAATTGACCAAAACCCTGGAAATTTTGAAACATCTCTTGAATCCCATTCAGTTATGAGAGTATTAATTGTGTATTCCATTTTTCGATTTTGAATTTGCACAAGTGTTTGCGGTAATATCAGCAAGAACTTTTATAGAATTCTGAGAGTCACCCTGAAAAAAAGACAAATGTAGTTTAATCAATAGTTGTTGATATAAATTCAACATAGAGAAATATATTAATATGCTCGTAAATGATTTTGAATCACATTTAAATAATGTAACATTCAATATATAATAATTATACAATATTTATTACGTAAATAATCCAACCTTGAAAATCGATGGAATACTGCCATCTTTTAGTGTAAAAAATAAAATTAATAAAAATAATAATAATAATAAAAATAAAAAAACGGAGAAAATCTGAAAGCACAGAGTATTTTTTCTCACAGCACTGGCTACTGTGTAAACCAAAAAATTAAATTCCAGAGTTCTGAAAGTTCTCCACACAGCACTGAATGCTCTGCAGAAAATAATAACTTTCTTTGACAGTAATCAGAGTTTTGTTTTATATTAGTTAACAACAGATTATTCAGAGCTACGAATGTAGCAATAAATTCTTTGCTCGAAGTCGTGACTGCTGTTCTCACAGCTCTGAGTACTGTGTAGAATTATTTCTTAGGATTAAAGAAATAAAATAACACTAAACCTTTAATAAAAAATAGACAACAATTTTAAACAAGCGTTCAAGACAATTTTAATCAATTTTAGAGGTTTTCTAATATTTTTATGAAAAACAGATTATATGACTAAGATTATTCATATTTTTTTTTTACTTCAAGTGATAAATATTTAAAATAATAATATTGAAACTTATTATTTTTTAATCATAATTATCCATAAATTTAGATTAGGTTGTAATTTGATATTAGCTAAGAAATCTTAAAATCTCAAAACTTGAGAAATACAAATAAATATTTAAAATTTACCTATAATAATTTATTTTAAAAATAATTATTTATTATTTCATTATAGTATAATAACTTTATTTGCTATATAACTAAAAAAATTTTTTAAAAATAATAGTTTTTAAAAAGACTTTTTAAAGTCTTCATTTCTGTTATTCATTAACTATTTATAAACATGCCAATTATAATCAATATTTAACAAGAAAAAATAATAATGGCTATCTTCTTTTTAATTGACGTTAAACGTTCCTTTGTTTTCTAAATTCTAAAAAATAATTCTACACAGTACTCAGAGCTGTGAGAACAGCAGTCACGACTTCAAGCAAAGAATTTATTGCTACATTCGTAGCTCTGAATAATCTGTTGTCAACTAATATAAAACAAAACTCTGATTAATGTCAAAAAAAAGTTGTGATTATTTTCTGCAGAGCATTCAGTGCTGTATGGAGAACTTTCAGAACTCTGGAATTTAATTTTTTGGTTTACACAGTAGCCAGTGCTGTGAGAAAAAATACTCAGTGCTTTCAGATTTTCTCCGTATAGGTCTTCCTTGTTTAAGATTCTCTTCAATACATTCAAGCCATATACATCTTGCTTCCCACAAATTAAAAAAAATAAATTCCTCAAAAAGTTGATAATAATTTACAACAATTACAAAAGAAATAATAATATTTATTCTTACAAAACATAAATAAATTATGAATTTTACAAACCTCATCGCTCGGAAATTAATAGAAATGTCTTCGATTTATATAGTTTATATAGTAAAATGCAATAATTTTCAATAATTTTTCTATTTACAAGGACATAAAAGTGATTTTCATAATATTGGCAGAAGAAAATGCAGGCAAAATGTCATAAGTGTAATGCGTCACCGGAGACATTTTCAATGTTCAAATGAATTAAAATGCGTTTTTAAAAAAATTAATTTTTTAATTATTTATTAACAATTGTATATTTTGTTACCTTTGCATTAAATTTGCAATTACTCTGTTGCTTGTTAATGAAATTTAATAAAATTTGGTGAGTATATAGAAAAATGATGTCTCTTTGAAATGCAATAGAAATTTCAATTAACCTTTATTGTTAATGAAAAAAAAATTGTTTATTTAATAAACAAATGAATATTTAAACTATTTCTCATATGTTTAGGAAAAATTTCAAAAACGACATAAATCTACACTTTCTAAACTTTAATTTAAAAAAAAAATCTTAGTACCTTTAAAAAATGAGTCGATGCCTATTCTGTGTTATCAAATGATACTCATTTATACTAATATAATTTATACTAATACTAATTTGGCTAAATAAAAATTTGGTTCAGCAAAAATTTAATTAAATCAGAATTTGGTTAAATAAAAATTAGACTTTAATAACAATTCTATTAAAAAAAATTCGGTTAAATAAAAATTCTGCTATTGAAAAATTTGGTTCTACGTTAAATTAATTTTCTAAAATTTAAACTTAATACACATTGAGCGCCCCAGTTAAAATCTTTTCGATGAAATAACAAATTCATAAAATTAAATTTGTTCTTATAAATATGAGAATAACAAATTCATAAAATTAAATTTGTTCTTATAAATATAAGAACAAATTTAATTTTATGAATTTGTTATTTCATCGAAAAGATTTTAACTGGGGCGCTCAATGTGTACTAAGTTTGAATTTTAGAAAATTAATTTAACGTAGAACCAAATTTTTCAATAGCAGAATTTTTATATTACTGAATTTTTTTAATAGAATTGTTATTGTTCTTTAACCAAATTCTTATTTAATTAAATTTTCGCTAAACCAAATTTTTATTTAGCCAAATTAGTATTAGTATAAATTAGTATCACTAGAGAAAATTTTACATTGGAATGTAAAATTTTCTCTAGTGATACTAATTCTGTTACTTGCAAAATAATTCAATGAATATTCGTTTTTTGAAAAAATTCTCGGAAACCAGTTGTAATGAAAAGTTATATGATTGTTAAATAATAAAATAAAGAAAAAATTTGATATTCAAGAATTCTAGTCAATAATTCGATAACAGAGAATAGGCATCGACGCGAGGTAACGCGCCGCACGCGGCAGTGGTGACTGTTTCAGCCCTTGCACGTCTCTCTTCAAATTCGCGTAATTCACTCATTTTTTAAAGGTACTAAGATTTTTTTTTTAAATTGAAGTTTAGAAAGTGTAGATTTATGTCGTTTTTGAAAGTTTTTCCTAAACATATGAGAAATGGTTTAAATATTCATTTGTTTATTAAATAAACAAATTTTTTTGCATTAACAGTAAAGGTTAATTGAAATTTCTATTGCATTTCAAAGAGACATCATTTTTCTATATACTCACCAAATTTTATTAAATTTCATTAACAAGCAACAGAGTAATTGCAAATTTAATGGAAAGGTAACAAAATATTCAATTGTTAATAAATAATTAAAAAATTAATTTTTTTAAAAACGCATTTCAGGAGTGGGATTACAAATAGCGACAGCGCTACGAAGATTTCGCTACGTAGCGATTCAAAGCTACATTCACTTTAAAAAATTTTCTTGCTATCGGGTGACTAAAAAAATGGTATCATTTTGATAGATTTAGGTTGGTACAATTGTTTTTCTGTGTATTTTTTTTCTCATATTTGCTTTATTTTGTATCAATTTCATAAGGATTCCCCACGATGTTGAAATGAAGCAATTAAAATAAATATCTAAAAGCAACGATAATTATTAATATTATTATATTAATAATTTTATTTCCAATTTCTATCCTTACAAAAAATCAAGAAACTAATTCAACTTTATCCAATAATAATAAACTATTTACTTTTCTTTTTTATATAAATAATTAAATATTTATTGCATTTATGTTTATTATCATTTTCATAGGATTAAAAATTTCTATTAGACATTGTCTAAAAGGGGGAAAATATATAATTTAAAAAATTTTGAAGATATAACCTCAGAAATAGAATTTTTGTTCTTACGCAAGGGTTCACTAAAAAAATGTATAGGGCATTTTTTCTGAGTTAAAGAGTTTTTCAAAAAATGAAAATTTAAATTAATTTAATTAAAAAATAATTAATTAATTTAATTTAAAAAATTTACCAATTTTTAAATTTAGGCTGGTAAAGAATATCCTAATTTTAAATCTCATGCAATTATTATTTTTAATTCTTGCAATAAGATTAATTTTCTTAATTTTTATTTATTAAATTAAATTAAAAAAATTTATTTCCTTTTATAAATTATTTTAACATTAAACTAGATAATTTATTTTTAATGTTGTTATTTATTAAATTAATAGGTTATTTGCAATATTAAAGTATAATTTATTTCGTCAGTAGTTAATTATTTTATTTGAAACTAACAGTTGGCAAACATGAAGTAGGAGAATTGATTCCACCTTCATGTTGTATTTGTTTGCTACGTAGATAAAATATTTTAGGAAATTGACATGAATTCTATGTCAATGTCCTTATTTAGAAGGGTTATGTTTATAGTTTATTCTAAATTACCATCTTGCAGTTTAAGCTTTGAAGAAACTGTCAACGGTATTTTATTTTGGCCATGATTTGGAACAAATTTCACTAAAAATATGTAAGTTTTTAATTCTAAATAACGAAAAGCGCTAAATAGCGACTAGCGCTATTAGTAATCCCACTGCAGGAATGTTTTTTTAACTTTATTTTTATTCTGTTTTTTTAAATAGATTTTTTTTTTTTATTTTTTTTTTTATTTTAAATTAAAAACTTGAATGAAATTTTTAATTTCTAAACCATAATTAATTGACCGCAATATATTTTATTCTGTTAAGAGTCAATAATATAATAATAAAAGTAAAATAAATCATTTATTCATTTCACAAGCGTTTCTCACAAGTTGTGAATTTTTCTGCCACTTCATATATAAGGACAGTTCAAATCATTCCGTTCAATGTAGCTGTAAGCGAAACTAGTATTGCGTTACATGTGTGTTAGGTTAGGTTATATGTAAGCGTATTATATGTATTGTGCGTATTATAAGGTGTGTGAGTGAAAAAGCGGTAATCTGTATGTACTACAGAAATTCGTGCTAAGTATGAAAATCAACCATCGACAATTAAAAATAATTGT